TAAGTAGTTTGGTTTTCAACCAGCCAGGGGAGATCATTGCAGACTTTACAAACCCTTTTACACGGTTAAGTTTCTCAAAGCCGCGATAGTAGTGAACTTATTTTTCCGCCAGGTGTTAGAGGAAAGTAACCTTATATTACAGCATTACTTTCAGCGTTGTTTGTTATTCGGATTAAAAATGGAAGAATAAATTACCATTTCTATTATTTCGACTCCAAAAATGGAGTGACCCATACATAATGGGAAGTATTCAAATAAGTTAATTTAAAGAGTAACAAAAAACATTAAATGGGCAATGTAATGTCATTCAGAAATGGTCTGTCCCTTATCACTTCAATCAGTTTTGAAACATGGTCATAGGTTCATCCCAATTTTTTTACCATAAAATTAATAAAACAATAAGCAGAGTCGCAGAGACAATAATAAAATAGATAAATGCCTGTATACACAGTTGTTTTGAAGAATAGCTTGATCCCTGGACACAAGGAGCGCTGCTATAGTTTGATAAAAAATTTCCAACCTTTTGGATCAATTTGTTCCTGAAATGTAATAAAACTCTTTTTGACGGTCCATTTTATTCATACAAAAATCTGGTTGATAAACTTAACCATGTAAAAGGATTTTTACACAGTGGCGGTACAGTGTACTGGCGGAGTAGTGTAATGGCGGATTTTTAACAGTGTACCAGTGGAGGCTGGTTATAGACATAGTGGAACTGCACCAAACATATTTTCACTTGATATTATCGATGACATTCAAGATAAGAGTATTTTTTTCTTCAATTGCTTTGTTTTATATGTAATCCTTGAGCTTAATAGTCATCACTTATTTTGTTTTAAATGTTTCTAGTCCTAAAATTTACGTTTAAAAAAAAAAAAAAACACTTGCTGATTGCTTCAATTATTTTTATAAAAACTTAAATCTTAGGGCTAGAAACATGAAATTTGTCACTTATAACATGGATCAACTCCTTTGATAGTGATCTGGGAGAAAAATACAATTTCGTAAAAATTTACATAAAAAATATTTAACAAATCATTATTTTTTTTTTTTATAAATAAAAAGTGTATTTGAGAAATTATTTTTATTATAATATATCCCAGATCACGGTAAAACAAAAAATAAAAGCTTTGCAACTGTTAATTATAGTCAATTCTTTACACACTTTGAGGTGAATCTCAAGAATTTGCCATATAAACTTCAATTTAATTAATATGGACTTGAAGCTTATCAAACAAAAAAGTTTATCTAAATGTGGAGTATCTGTAGTACAGTTGGATAATGAAGAAAAAAAATCGCCAATAGTTTATGATTTTTTTAAAAAACCGAACTTAGCCACTCAAAAGTCCTCTTTAAATGGTTTTAACAATGACAAATTCTATATTAATTTAATGAAAATTTTATCTAGTTTACAGTGAAATGATTGTTAATTACATAAATTAAATATTTCTTTAGTTATTGCTTCCTATTCTTCAAAAAGACTTTAATGACTTACTTAAAAAAACATTAAAGTTGGATTTCCTACTTTTCTGCTGAGGATTGAACCATTGTTTCTATGAACTTTTTTGTAGGCCTTGAGGTCTGCTATTACTCCTATAAAAATTTCCCTCTACTTACGGGATACATTATATATATATATATATATATATATATATATATATATATTTATATCAGTAAACATCAATGACCGATTTAAATTATTTATTTTAAGCTACAACGGCTCGACGAGCCGAAATGTCGTAATAAGATGTTGTAGTCATTAAGTTGGCTAAATTAAAAATTGGTTTAAAGTGGCTTAAAACCAATAAATTGGAAAAATATTATGCTCCCTAGTAGAAGAGAGAAATATTGAGGATAAATTGTTATTTATAAATCAGGCTTGATTTTAAAAATTAAAAATCAAATATAATAATCATTACATAATATTGAGAAAAAATAATTATCAAACCCTTAATTGGACTGATAATTGCCTTGAGGGACTCACAAATGATTTAGCAAATTTTCGGTTCTCATTTTACTGTAGTGTTGCCCAAATACAAGACCCAGACTCTTCACACTCAGTCTTGGTCTTGATCTTGGTCTTTTGCAAGTCTCGCAGTCTTGCAGTTACCGATTAGCCTATTACTATTGAGATATTACAGTCATTTTTCATATAAGGGAAACCTAAGCCCGAATAAAAAATTGGAAAAGTTAAATGTAAAAGTATATTAGTTATACTAATTCTTTACATATAGTAACTAAAATTGTCTGGTATTTTGCCTTAATTTTTTATTCACAAATACGATTTTTTTTTACCAGTCTTAGTCTTTGTCTTGTAACAGTTATACTGATTTTGGGCAACACTATTTCACTGTTACTTACCCATTTATGAAATATATAGTATAGTAGTTTTCAATGAAAATACATATTTGAAGGTTCCCTGATCAGCCTATCGAAAGAGCCGCTTTACATAGTTCATTTTACACATTTTGTGGTATTCTCATTAATGGCTCAAACGATTCTGATCAAACTCGTTTTATCGATATAAAATTAACAATGTGTTCTATTCGTTAAATTATAATGCATTAACAAAAACTAAATATAACTGTCTTATAAAAAAAAGTATAATCTCTAAAAGTATTATTGTTCGTGTGATTACATTTTTAATAGGACTTCAAGAATCACTTAAACACCATTTCATATAGGTAGTTAGTTTTTTCTTTTTCTACTCAATTAATTATATATATATATATATATATATATATATATATATATATAAGGATATATAAGGTTCCAATTATATATAAGGATATTCACTATGGAAGAAAAATAAAAAACTAACTACCTAAACTAATTAAGGGATTCTTTGAAGCCCTATTAAAAAAAAATAATAATAATTTTAAAGGCGAGTTTTTATTATATGTTTTCATAAAACATGATTATATTTAGTAGCTGTATGTGCATATAATTTAAAAACCAGAGCATATTATGATCATTTAAGTATTCAGCTTAGATCATTAACTGTAACAATTATGGAATAATTAAAAGAATTTTTATTTTTACTTTTTTGGGGGGAGGGGGAGAGGGGAGCTTCAGTCCAAAATTCTTTATCGTAGATTCGCCAGTGATACTTGTTAGTAGTAACACGAAATGGATAAATATGAACCATGAAAGAATTTGATAATTAACCAAAGAAGAAAATGGTAGAAATAGGGGATGAAAACCAATTTTCGGATATAAGAGTAGTAATTAATATATATGAGCCTTTCAGTTGGCAGAATGACTAACTCCAATTTCAACATTTTTCGAGTAAAGTCATTTTAGTGATTTTTCTAGTTGAAAAATTTATAATATCTGTACCGACAGTAAGCAAGTTAATAGATATAGAACTGTGAATAAAGGTATACAATTTTCCACTAGAATTATCACTAAAATTAATAATAAAAAAATTCGAAATTGGCTTTAGTCATTCTGTCAACTGAAAGTCTTATATAATCTATAATTAATATTGATATACCATTGGAAATCTAGTATTTAATATCAAATTTAGTCATAGCACCTATTGCACTTCAATGCGGCAGATTGTACTATTTACTATTCAATAAAAAAAAAAAAGTATTTCATATATTAAAAAAAGCTAATGAATTTTAATAGTTGTTAATAATGTATACTTTCACACTATTAAATTATAAATTAACGTTTACATGGAAACAATTCGAATTTCATAGAAAATAAACGGAAAACTATTTATTTATTTCATCCTGAAAAATCCAAAATACTATATATTAGGCATAATTGTGAGAATTTATATTAATTGTCTAAAGTTTGTATTTTTAATTAAAATAATTTTTTTGATCCTTATTAACTTTAAAAAAAAATGTATTGATTTATGTAAAAATTATTCTATAATTAGGGCACGGTTTTGTTCTCTGTTGAAGTAATCAAACACAATACCCAGTTGTTGTCGTTATGCAATAATTAGTATACAACGACATTAACAACAGAACAGAAACAATAAAAAAAAAATAGATATGCTTACAGTTGTATATTTTTTAAATTATTTGATATTATTCATGTCATTAGAATACTTTATATTAATCGGTTCAGATAAATACTAACTATGTTATTACCTTGATAAAATTCTATTATTTATTAAAACCTTTTTAGAAATGTAGTTAATAATAGCCTTACTTTGTGAATTTAATATTCAATCGGTATAATTATAACTATTAATATATATATATATATATATATATATATATATATATAATAACATTATAAATGTAATAATATATAGTTGCACAGATTTTAATAGCTTATTAAGTAAGGCTGAGGTATAAACATATATAGGACAGTCATATATATTTCAGTAAAAGGATGAATAATGCAGAGACCTCACGTGGAAAAGGAGAGGGGAATTCAAGGGACCCGACAAATTTAAGTTGTTTGTATTTTTTTTAAATATAATAGTATATATTATTATATAACATAAATGGTGACACAAATATATAAGCAGGACCAACTTGAAATTTTATCAAGGACAATTTTACCACTCCTTCATTTATTAATTTTCATCGACCAATAAAAATTAACAGTTTTATTTAAAAAATATCTTAGGTGATATGATTTTAAACAAATGTCATAATCTCGTCTTATTAGATGAATTAAGGGGGCAAGTTGTCCCAAGGATAACTAGAAGAAGTCAGAAAAAAATATTTTTTCCTTGACTTAAGACAAATTTTTTATTTTATTAATTCTGCACCACGGGGCAAGTGCCCCTTTCCTTTCTCCCCCCCCCCAGTTCCGGTCCTGCATATATATGTACACTATTTATATATACATATTTATATATATATTTAAAACTGTTATCTTCATACATGTTTAAACTGTCATGTCCTCGTGAATAATTCCAAAACTGCTAGTTAAATAAAATAACATTGAAAATAGATTTGGCTAATTTTGGAATTATACTTCTAAATTAAATACTTCTATGACAGAATTTAATGCAGACAGATTGTTTGTCGGGAATAATTTATCTAAATAAAAATAAAAAAGAACTACATTTGGTTTAAAGAATAAATATAATTATAACGATTTATTTGTTTACTGCATCACCTATTTATACAGCTACGGAAATATTACACATGTACAACAAATACAATCATACGTATACAGATATATATATTTTTATTTAATATATATAGCGTCACAATAAATAATGTGTAGTAGATACAATGGAAGAAATAGTAAATCGACTAAAGAAAATTTTAAAAATTGCTTTAAGCTTTTTTTTTTTTAATTTTCACTCATTATTTTAGTTTAATTAAATTTACATTAATTATGATAATATTACACAATATTGGTAACAATATACTATATCTTTGTATAAAACTTTCTTATTCACCTCTCATAGACAAATCATTTACTAACTAATTATACCTAATGAATAATTTAAACAATATATATATATATATATTTATATATAATATGATACACATTAACTTGAAGGTTCCCCTTTTGTTCCCATCCATAAATTACAATTTTTTTTGTGTAAAAAATATTAAACAATATACAAAAATAAATGCACTATAAAATAATCAGTCTGATCAACAAAATTATAATAACTTAAAATAAATAGAAAAAAAAAAAACAATTCAAAAATAAAAATGAAAAGGAGATTATATTTTTACAACTATAAAATATGTTACATATTCAAATGAGAAATTATGGTGAATCATAGAATTTCTTCATCAAATAAATTAAATACAAAATTTACAAAAGAAAAATCTTTATTTACCCAATGTCCGAAATTCACTGCGAAATCCCGGACTTTGTGAAGACTAGATCACCAACGCATTCTGGTGAGGTTTGCTAAATGCTAACTCGACAACTTCACAGCTCCTAGATTAAAAATACAATATTAATATAGTACATCAATCGCCACATTCCATCTCGTAACTTGTCCCTAGATTCCAATGTGGCGCATCCACTAATTTGGGTTAATATTTAATGTACAATCGGTGCTTATTATAATAGGTTCAGTAAGGAGACATTCGGTGACAAATATCGAATAATATTTCACTATAGATAACAATACATGCATTTTGGAACCAACCTTAGAAGAACCACTTTTATTTTTTAAAAACATAATTCATGTTTTATCAATCTTACTTAAGCGCTAGCTTAAATATATTTTAAAAACTGAAGCATGTCAAATTTTACCCAATAATTTTAGAAACCTTTTCCGTACGTTAAACCATGGAACAATAACAAAGCTAAATATATTTAAAAAAAAAATTGAAAAAAATAAAACCAGACACACATACACACACATATATACCCTCACACACGATAATTTTCAAATCAGCTGTAAAATTATTTTAATGTTGCAAAAACAAAATTATTTTCTAAAATTTACGAGGTTAGAATTGCTTGAAATAAAAAATAAATAAAAATACAAAGAAAACAAAATTTAGTCAAATGAACATCATTTACTTCCAGATCACATTATACTTATTTTGATTAGCACTAGTGTCATGAAAACTTCATATTTTTTCCAAAGATAAATATATCTTATCATTGCATTTATCTTGGTTTAATTGTAATTTAGTAAATTGCTGATTGTGCTATCGGAATGTGCCTTATAACATACTTAAGTTTTGTTTTTAGAGAAATAATATATATATTATACTTTCATATTTTATTTATAATTAAATTAGGTCTTTTTTATCTTTAGTGTTTACATTGATACAAAATATGTTTTTATTTTATTAAAATTTACAATTTTAATATTAATAGAAATTCTATAGTAAAAAAAAAAAATCAATGTAATGTCTGATGGATCATAGATGACATTAATCATATAATCATAGATGATAGTAAGTCAAGATGAGTTGTTTAGCATCGATTCAACAATAAATAATATAACAAATATATTATAGATAAATAAATCGTCGTACATAGGAAATATGCAATGTTAAATTCAAAAATATGTGCCTGCTCTTTAAGATACGCTAAATGATAGAAAATAAAACAGGGTATTTATAAAAAATGTGTTTTATCATTTCATCTTTTTTAATAAAAACCATAACTATATTTATGCAAAATATCCTCTGCACGATAACCAGAGCGATCTGGGATCAGAGTACTTACATATGGTGAAGAAAGACCAATAAAGAACTGTTTACAGAAACTGGTGAATCAATATGCAATGATATGAAGGCTGGGAGGTTAAGACGGGTGATGAATGTAGCTCGTAGCAATCCATCTGAATGGATCAATGGAAGACAAAACACCACATGGAAGGCCAAAAAGCAGATGGATAGATAGAATCAACAACGATGCAATAGAGCTGCGTGGAGATAAATGGACAGGAATAGTTTAACACAGGCATAGATGGAGCAGGATTGTTAAGGCGGCAAAAGATGTACATGGTCTGTAATATGTAATGGTCTGTATGTATATATATATATATATATATATATATATATATATATATATATATATATATATATATATATATATTCTGAATAAGTAGTAAGAAGTTCTACTTAAAAAATCATAAAACCTCATAACTACTAAGTCAGCTGCATTAAAAATATACAAGTAATTAATTAATGTTTGCATGTTAGTAGAAAAATGTTGTATTATTTATATCTGCACTTATATAAAAAAGGATTAAGTATATTTGAATTTTAAATACTGGTAGCTCCCCCTTTGAATAAAGAAAAGCCCACCCCAAATCGGCCATTATTCCCAGTACAGTAGGGGTAAGTGGCCGTGAGACCTATGATCCGCCTCTAGTCATCAAATATTTGATCATAATCCCTCTCCCCCCCAGTTCATCCCCTCTCTATCGCAAAGCAAGGTGTCGAGGGAGGATAACATAATTTGATTCTGCCCCTTCGACCGTTTAACTGCCCCTCTGTCAAACTGTCAACATTATAATATTACAAGATGGATGTTAAATTATATATCTTATTGTACGAATCCATTTAGAATAAATTAGTTAATAAAACTGTGTCATTATAATACTTTAATATTCTCATAAAATTGCTTATATTATATTTCAATACAGTTGTACATTGGTTTGTTATAATTATAATACAGAGGAACAATTATGTAAGTTGCCTGAATTATAAAAATAAAATTTTGGAATAATACTTAGAACCAAAAGTAACGAAAATATATGAAATTTGAAAACATAAGTTTCATTTATGCTTTTATGGACTTGAAATAGGGCAGATAAGGCCTGAAATGTTACCACATAACTTAAAATTTAATAAATTAATTTGGAAAAAAAAGGCTTTAAAATATACCTCGGTAAAGAAAATTAAATTGATATTTTAAAAATTTGTCAGTGTATAGGTATGACTGTGTTTTTATGTTTATAATTTACTTATATTTAGGTTATTTTATTTTTTGATTTTACATAGTTTTTATTTAGTTATTATTTTACTTTTGTTAATTTTATATTTTTTGTATATTGGGTGTTAATGTGTTCATTTATCACTATAATTATTGCCCTCGAGACAGAATATTATATGTCTAAATAAATAAATAAAAAATTAAGCAATAATCAAACTTATCAATCAGTCATAATTATCAGGTAAATAATCAATATTAAATTACTCCTGTCTAAACATACGTCTGATAAATGTTGTAAGTACACTTCTTTAAATAATAATTTTAATTGATCGGGAGTCTAGTATCCACGTTAGCGTGTATATGTTGTGTAAGAGTTATTTCAATGATTAAAACTGGTTCATGTATTTCATTATTTCACTCTTGTTTTCATAAATAGATAGTTAATTTTTTTATAAATTTATAACGGAATAAACGAACTTTACTTCAAATAATAATAATATTAAATCAATACGTAATGAAACCCTAAAAATGGATCAGTCAGAAAAAGTATACAATCCTGAAAAAAATCCGTAGTCAAATGTATAAAAAAAAATGTTGACTACCTGCTAATAATAATATTTAATGCTTCTTTATATAATAATAAAGCCTTTTATATTATTTATAGCTCGACAAAGAAACAAATTAGAATTAAATTTAAATTAAAATCAAATTAATATTAAAATAAATTTAAGTATTTAATATTAAATATTGTACATAGGTGTGAATGTGTTTTATTTATTTGAATTTCATTTAGCTTCTATCTATTATTTTATTTTCTGTACATATGTATATTAATTTTCTTATTTTCTTTTCTTTATTTCTTTTTCTTTATTTTCTCTATTTCTCTTTTCTATGTACGTATTATGTGAATGATTGCTGTATCCCTAATATCAATGCCCTTCAATGTGGCAAAATTTATTAATATTCAACGAAATAAAACAAAAATAGAAATTCTAAGATACTTCAAACTTGCCGTAGGGAATGTGATAAAATCTTAGCGTAAAAATGGAAGGCTACACATGAATAAATGATAAAATCCTAGGATATGTTTTTTTTTTTTAAATCTGTACAACTACGACCCATGAAAGATTTTGTGTTCAGTACTATTTAGGGAAAGCGCTATTTCTTGGTCTACGGTTGTGCAAGGAAGTGATTTGACCGAGATCACGCTCAACCGCCAGGTTTTTCCCCCTTAATCAATTATTTTGAATTAAGGTACCCGCTTTATAGAGGCTGGGTATGCCCTAGGAAGGTCTATCTACCCAGGGTCACCCCACGTCCAATGAAACGGAATAAACAATTTTTCTGCAATGAGCCGAGATTCGAACCTATGACCTTTAACATTGGAAGCTCAGTACCCTACCACTGAGCTACCCCGCTCCTATTTATGTTGCCAGGATATGTTGCCACATATATTTATCTTTGAATATAAATTTCAATTTCAATAATAGGAAAATTGGGCGTCGTCAAATACTTGCGTACCTACTTCTGTGCCTTAGCTTAGTCATCTGATCAACATTTTCTATATTCTTAATTGATTTTAGTTTGCATATTTTATTCATTTGTGTAGATTATTAAGAGAGGGCGAAACAATATTCTAGACCCCTCTCTATTTTTATTGCAGGTGAGAGGGGAGGGTGAAAGCCTAAGTAATTATTTACTAGAATAAGATGTAATGTAAATAAATTTGTTATACTTAATATATTGTATTACACTATAGAACAATATATTATAAATATAATATATTCTGGATTTTCTACAGTTACGATACACATAAAAATAAGTTTTTGAAAAAACTGGAAATACAATACAAAGTGTACAAGTAGCAAATTTCAGGTAAACTATCACCTAATTCACCACAACATCAAGCAAACAAATGAAATCAAACATGACGACAGACAAGACAATTTCCTATTCCATGACAAAATATCCTCAAACCGTAAATATCAATTAGATAAACGAGGGAGTGAGATTGCTGAGAAATCAGCTACAGAAGTAATGTTGGACAATGTCGGAAAGTTGTACTTATTTGGGGAGGGATTATGCGGTCTTTTTTGCCATCTGCACTGTGCTGCAGAAACCTATGCTACGCTACATTGAAGAAAGTGTAAACATATTTTTGGGAGATGATATTAACTCGAGATTCAGCCTTTTGTATGTTGAGAACATATATGCCCTCCTAAAGCGCTCATCACTTAATTTTAATGCCTCGAAAAGATTCAGATTGTATTCAAAATAGAGATACTCTTCCAATTTTCCTAATTGTATCAATTTTGGTTCTAGTATGTTGGATTTTGTCTCTGATTTGAAACCAGAATCTCGGGATTAATACAAAATTTCAAATTCAAATCAATATTACAGAACTCCCTTTATATTTCAAAATATACCACAGAAGCAATGAAGAACCAATAAAATAAATGTTATTTGGTGGAGTTGTAGTAACTATGAGACTGCTTCTGTACTAACTTAAATCCTGAATTATAAACATTTAACAT